TTGGGGCTTTGATGAATGGGCAAATGTGGAATGTTTTCAAATATTGGACACTGGACAGGGCTCCTGAATATTGATTGAAAGCAGACTGTTTGGAAGCCCACGACAGCCCTCACACCTGAGCAGGCAGCCCACTAAATGATACCGAGTCTGTGTACTCCCCCCAACGCAAGCACGTGGGCACGCGCGCATGCACGCACACACATACAGACATGTGCACATGCATGCACGCACATGTACATGCGCACACATGCACACACTCACATAAACACATACAAACATACGCACACATACACACACGCACGCACGCACACACATACAGACATGTGCACAGGCATGCACACACATGTACATGCACACACATGCACACACTCACATAAACACATACAAACATACGCACACATACACACATGCACTGCATGTGCATGTACACACAAGCGCGCGCATGCATACATGCACACATAAACATACGTCCACGCACTAACATAAACACATGCACGTGTGCACACATGTATGCATGTACACACAAGCGCGCGCACATGCATGCACACACGTAAGCATGCATGCACACGCGCACATGCACACACAATTCTCCAACTCCAGTTGCTACAGAAAGGAGGAGGGGAGCCTGAGTCGCTCCCCCTTCAGGCACAACACTTGGTAGCACAGAAGTGACAGTCCTCTGCTTGCGTCAGAGTCAGCGGGTGTCATGATAACAAATGTAACCGTATCGTTAGAGTAATTTGCTAATTTGCTTAAGTAACACCCACAGACAGAAACATGACATAAATACATTAGTGCCGGCGCTGCCTGTAACCAGCTCTCACCGGCTTTTGGCTCATGGATGGATGGAGCACACGAAGGAGAAAACATTTATGGAGCAGAGAACAGTTGGATTTGCCCGCCCCTTCCCCAAGTCCTAGCTTCTCTCCTGCTCTGGTGCGGCTGCCCGCTGACCGTCAGGCCCAGGCAGACTGGGCGTGGCCACCCGGCTGTGTCGGGCAGTGAGGCACAAGGTTGCTTTGGCCTAATTATTCAAAGCCACTTGGTCTCTCCCTTCAGTGTTCATGGTCTGGCCTGCCCAACATAGCCATCAATCACATTCTGTTCGATATTGTTTACAATGTGTTTATCTCTGTGTTTCCACTGCTGTCTCACCTCTACCCTCTTCTGCATATACTACACTTTGGTAAAATTGGACTGCTTGCTGTTTACACTTACCCACTTCCAGGTCTGATCACACTGCCTGGCACACAGTAGGTGCTTAATAAATGCTGATTGATTGATTGATTCCCACACCCATGCCTGTGTTCTCCCTGCTCCATTTGCCTGGAATGCCCTCCTCCTCCTCCTCAACCCCATCTTGACCCGTTGAAATTCTCCCCCTCCTTCGAGGCCCCCCTCTCCCGGGAAGCTTTCCATGATGCCCCAGCCAGAAATCATTTCCCTTCCACGCAGCTATGACTCTCTTCCATTCTCCACTATGGCTGTTGGAGCTAGGGGGGCAGGGTGATTGAGTAACAGCCGCTGCCTAATGAGGCCCCCACCTCTCTCTGGCTCTGAGATTGTCATAGCCAGTTTAATCTAGCACCGCCTAGCCTCAGATTCCTGGGTGCATGAGTACACGGTGCCCTGGCAGTCAGTCATCAGAGGACCCTGGCAGAGCACGTGTTCTTCTCCTCTCACTGTTAGATTTTGGACGCTCTGAGAATAGGATTTATAGATTAATGATCGCGGTATGCGTCCTGGTCCCAAGCACAGGAGTCCATGCTTAATAGTCCTTCACAGCAGCCAATGAAGAGATTGGCTGCGACTCCTCCAGGGCCCCAGGGAGGGCTTTCATGCTGATGGCGCCCCAGAAATAGTGACTAGTGAGGTTTTTTTTAACAGCATGTCTGTCATAGCACTGCCACTGATCAGAAGCCTCATTAGTCGCAAGACGGTTTCATTGGTTATATTGGGATTAGGTCACCACTGGTTTGCCTAAGACTGATGGAAATTTCAGTCAGCCATGGACAGAAGAAACAATCAGTCCACAAGCATTTATTAAGCACTTGCTGTGTGCCGGGCTTTGGCATAGGTCCTGGGATACAAGCAGGAAACGAAAACAGCTCCAGCTGTCGAGGACCCAGCATTCTCTTGGGGGGGACAGAGAGGCATGTCAAATGAACGTGTGCTAAATATGTGTGTAAAGTAATGGACAGGGGAAGCGTTAGCAACTGAGAGCATGAGGTAGCATTTGTAGAAGGTGGCGTTTGACCTGAGCTTTGAAGGAAACCTGAGATTGCGGGAGATGGAGGTAAGGAAGGAGTGTAGTTCAGAGAGGGGGGACAGCCTGTGCATGGGGCTTGGAGATGGAGCCTGACATGCGAGGATCAGGAATAAGGCTGGACCATTGGGCTGTAAAGTAGAGCACAGAGAACACAGTAATGAGTGACGAGGCCAGACGGGTGCGATGGGCTCTAAGTGCTCAAAAGAGGGTTTGGGTCTTGTTGCTACAGAGAGCTCCTGGAGCTCTGTGTGCATGTGTGCGCATGTGTGTGTTGGGACATAGCCGTCCGCACACTGTCCCCCCCCTTGGTCTGTGAGCTCCTCAAGATCATGGGCTGCCTTCTCTGGATCATCCATGCATAGCCCGGTGTCTGGTCACAGTAGGCACTTAATGAATGCTTATTGGCTGACTAATTATTATCATCAATAATAAAAGAGCCAGGGAGTGAAGAGTGCAGCAAAAGCTCCACAGGCAGGGAGAGCATTCCTAACCATTCTCAGGCCCCTGCCCGCTTCTCTGGGATGGGGATACCAAAATCATTGCAGTCATATTGCTTGGAATTCTCTTAGCCCACATGGGAATAAAACCTTCTCTGCCTTTCTTAGAACTCACATGAGGACTGTGCAAAATTGCTTCCTTCCCATCACGCCCATGGAGAAGCCCCATCCAAGAGGGTCTGTCCTCACAGGCTCCCAATTCTGGTGAAGGGGAGGGCACTTTCTGAATGAGGAACAGGTGGGCTTCTGTGGGGCCAGTGGATGGAAATTTGGCTTTGTAGTCAGGGAGACATGAGCTCAAGTCCTGCCACTGCCCCGTGCTGACTGTGCAATCATGAGCAAGTGACTTCCCCTCTCTGGGGCTCAGCTGCCTTATCTGTAAAATGGGGTGTTAGACTAGAAGCCTCAAAGGCATCCCTGTTAGCACTAGGGCTGGGCAGCTACAATGTGCCTGTCTGCGCTAGGGGAGGAAGTGTTTCCCGGTGCCCTCCCCCCAAGCACACATGCACACATACATACACTCACATACATATATACACAATACACACATACATACACAATACACTCACACACATACTCACCCACATATGTACACACATACATACATGATACATGCATACACATACACATATACACATATACATACATACACAAGCACATACACACAAACACCACAGGTTCCTGGAAATCCAAGCCATAGAATCTTAGCGTTGAAAGAAGTCTTTGCCAGGGCATCCAATCCACTCAAAGCTGAACAGGACTCCCTTCTATTTCAACCCTGCCAAGTAGTTAGCCAGCATCTGCTTAAAGCACCTGAAATGACAGAGAGCTCCCTGCTTGTGGAGAGAGAGGCATCATGGTAGCAGAGGCAGGAGAGCCCACAGTTTGAATCCTGGCTCCTGATGTTACTTGACTCTATAATCCTCAATTTCCCCGTCTGCAAAATGGGAATCATAGTCCTCATGTGAGCACCTTGAGGAGAGAAGGCACTGCTGTCACCTTGTGAAGTGGCCCCTTCTGTCCCTGGGTGATTGATTGTAAGAAAGTTTTTCCTGATAGCCAGGTGCTTGTTGATGGAGGAGAGGAGGTTGAGACTCAGAGAGGGGAAGGGACTTTCCCCGGGTCACACAGCATAGCAGATCTGAGATTCAGCCTGAAGTCCTCTGACTCCAGATCCTGTGGTCTTTCTACTATAGGCAGACCTAGGACTCAGGGTAAAGTTGAGGGTAAAAGTATAGCTTTGGCCATATAAGGAAAAAACCTCCTAACCCACAAGGCTGCCCAAAAGTAGAGTCAGTAGGTAGTGAGTTCCCCATCACTGGAAGTCTATGAACAGAGACTGCAGGATCCCTTGTCAGAGATGCTGCACAAGGCTTCCTGCTGAAGGATAACCAGATCGAATGACCTTTGAGCTCTTTTTTAACCCCGAGGGGCCATAGGTTACTAACAGCCCATGCTGCTTTGACACTTCAAGGTTTTCAAAGCACTTTCCTTAAAACCACCCCCATGAGATAAGTAGGGCATGTATTATTGTCCCCATTTTACAGATGAGGAAAGTAGAGGCTCAGAAAAGGGAAGTGACTTGTCCAAGTCACTCAGCTCTCAAATATCTGAGAGAACAAAGTAAAAAGAGTGTTGTAGGTAATTAAAAAAAAAAAACCTTATCCTGGAAATTAAAAAAAAAATATTCTATTTGACTTTTGTCTGCATTATGTTTTCAATATCAGGTGATATGTTCCTCCCCATTTTACAGATGAGGAAACTGAGCCCTTGCAAAAGGAAGTGTCTTGGGAAAAGTCACACGGGTTCACAGATTTGAAACTGGAAGAAGCTGTGTGGTTCAACACCCCCATTTTACAAAGAAGAAAACTGAAGCCCAAAGAGGTCAAACCATTTGCCTTGGCAAAGATATCAAGTAGAAATGCTGGGATTTGAACCCAGGCCCTATAACTTTACTATGGGGGCACAACACTGTCTCTCCAATTTATCTTTGCACTAATTTTTGGCTTTGTCTCAGGTTAAAATTAATTTACATTCTCTGGGACCACAGGAAACAGCATACTCACTCGCATGGCGGGCACTCGATGGTAGCCAAGGGGAGCGTACAAGCTTTCCGTGGACACTTCACAAGCCCATTGACCAAGCGCCCTCCGAGCCGCCCTTTGTCGTTTGTCGCTGGGTCCCTGCAGGGCCTGCCCTGACTCCCAGGTTGATTGCCGTCTATTTTCCCCCAGGAAGCCTGCCTTACGAGTACAAGATCGTGATTGCCGGGAACCACGAGTTGACCTTCGACCAGGAGTTCATGGCTGACTTGATCAAGCAGGACTTTTACTATTTCCCTTCCGTGTCCAAGCTGAAGCCAGAGAACTACGAGAACGTGCAGTCCCTGCTAACCAACTGCATCTACCTTCAGGACTCGGAGGTGACTGTGCGGGGATTCCGGATCTATGGCTCCCCATGGTGAGCAGACCCCTGCTGGGCACCGGCTGTCCTCTGTCCTTACTGTTGTCCTTGTTAAACCGCCAGCCATGGTGTGGAAGGGGGCGTGAGGGAGGGAGCTCCCGGCGGGGGGGGGGGGGGGAGAAGGGGCGTCTTTCCCGTCAGTGGGTGGTGGGTGGCTCAGGTCCGGTTGTGAGCCGCGAAGCTGGTGAGGGAGGGCAGCGGCAGTGGGGCCATCTCTGATAAGCTTGGGCCTAGTGAGGAAATCTGGGGAAAGAGAAGACGGAGCCAGCAGGGAGATCCCAGACCTCTGAGGAATGAGCTAAGCAGGAACTGTCTACTTTCCAAGAAGCTTCTCCAGTCCTGACACTCACAGACACGCACAAAGACACCATCACACACACACACACACACACACACACACACACGCACGCACGCGCGCGGTCAGACACGCACACGTGCATGTGTAGAATGTCAGGCACAGACACGGGGTCAGTCTCTTAGCCTCCGCGGACCTTCACCGTGGAAAGGCAGATAGCCACGCGCAGAAGGTGAGAGGCGCCCAGGTGTCTGTAGTTAAACAGCCCCGGAGGTGCTGAGCATCCCTGCGCCTGGGCTCTGGCTGGGCTCCACCTGGAGTCTTGCTGCGTTCTGCTGTGTTCCCCCCATCGTAGAAGCGACATGGAGGGTAGCCAGGATGGGGAAGGGCCTTAGACCGGGTCATATGAAGATTGGCTGAAAAAAGGCTTGTTTATCTAGGAGGAGAGGAGTCCTGGGTGATAACCAGGCTCACGGGGAGGAGGGGAGGAGTCAGCAGACAGTGGGAGCTACGTGCCCAGCACTGCTTCTGGTTGATTCGCATCGTCCTGCTTGGCCCCGGGGGCAGAGCTGGACCCCGGGACTGTGAATCAGGGTGGGGCTCAGGAGGCTGTCCATACCCTCTCCTGGGGGGCGGCATGCAGGTTGGCTCAGCTGCTGCGTCTGGGTGGGTTCTTCGAGGGAGTCTCCAGGCGCCCGTAAATATCACCCCCGCCAGGTGCTTGTCCCCTCCTCGGGCTGAGGGCAGCCTCTGCCCGCCCTTGCAGCAGCCTCACGACTCCCGCCAGTAGCCTCAGAGGCAGGAGACAAGCTGCCCGGGATGGTCGGGGATGCAGCATTGACCATCATTCTCTGATACAATTATTTATAATGCACATTAATTAGTAAGCTGGTTTACTGTAGAGGGCCTGCAGGCTGAGCTTTCAAACACCTTTAGCAAACCTGTTTTCCCCAAACTGGGATTCTGCAGAAGCCGGGCCTTCCATACCAGCCAGAGGCGGGTTCCACGAGGATGTGTATCATTTCCTCTAGATTAGATTGTGTGTGCATGGAGCAACCTGCAGCCAGCCTGTGGGGGCTGGGCTTCCAGCTCTCACTGTCACTCCCTGTCTGGGTGACCTGGGGCAAGTCCCTCTCTGGGAGTGTTTTCTCTTGGCTGGAATGGAAGGATTGGAATAGCTGATCTCTGAGCTCCCTTCCAATTCTGAAGTGTGGCCTCGCGGGAAAAGCCCTAGTTCTAGTGCTAGAGGTGGTGGTAGTGTTCAGTGGTGGTGGTGCTCAATCGTGTCTGGCTCTGTGTGACTCCATTTGGGGTCATTTCTTGGCAAAGTTACTGGAGTGGTTAGCCCTTTCCTTGTCCAGCTCATTTTACAGATGAGGAAACTGAGCCAAACAGGATGCAGTGACTTGCCCAGGGTCACACCAGTAAGTGTCTGAGGCTGGATTTGAACTCAGATCTTCCTAACTCTAGCTCCAGTGCTCTTTTAAACCCTTCCTCTGAGACCTGTTCCCTGTGTGATAGATCCCTTCCCATCCCTGGCTCTCAATGTCCTCCTCCACAAGATGAGGGGGCCTGCGAGCTCCCTTGGGCTCTTGGCTGAGAATTTTAATCATGAAATCCTTCATAGGTGAAGTAATAAGAGGGGAGATGGCCTCCACCCCGTGCTTCGCCCAGCCCTTTCCCTGAGTTATCTTGTGGGGTGCCTGCACCAGCTCTGGGGGCCAGCTGCTCTCAGTGTCCCCATCCCCAGATGGGAACATTGAGGCTCAAGAGAACAAGGCCCGCTGCCCAGAAGTAGCAGGAGGCAAGCTGGACCTTCTGCTTCCACGGCCGGGGGCTGCCCATTGGGCCACACTGCCTCCCTGGCCGCTCTCCACTAACTCTAGGAGGCACTAAATAGGAATCTCCCAGAACCCTTTGTCCCCAGACCCCGGCCCCAGCCTGTGGCTCTTGTGCACATCTGTCAAGCCCAAGGGTGTTTTTTGACCAGACACCCATGGTGGTGTTCACTCCACCCACGGCGGCTTCTCCCGCGTGACCAGCCGTTCCTCCAGAGCCACAGCGGGTTCGCCAGTGTGACCTGGGCAGCAGTTTACACTTTTGTCCAGTGGGGAAAAGGGGTCTGGTTCCATTTGGGTTCGCTGTGTCCTTCTGATCTCCTCTCCAGCAGCCCCTGAGTGTCTCGGGGCTGTCCTTGGCTTTGCCGGGAGGTGACAAGCGCGTGGCTGGCCACTTGGACCCCAAGTCCCGCCCCCGGCTGTGTTGTTGGGGATCAGGCTTCTTTGTCACATAAGAGGTGGGGGCTGTGTTTTGATGGCGGCTTCAGCGAGGAGCAGAAATGGCGCGTTTCAGGACTGGAGAAGCACCGATGGGGGCTCACCTGGAACAAAAGACAAGATAGCAGAATAGGATAGCTCATTGTGGGGCCTTGCCCAGCCCCCTCTCCATGGCCTCCTGCTGGCCTCTCCCCACTCAGCACCCTCCAAGAATCTGGGAATCACTTTGGTGATGCCTGGTCCCCAGGATATCCCCAGGCGCTGCTGGCGATACGTGCCAGAGCAGAGGCACCATTCGATGCCTGGCAGAAAAGCTAACTTTCTCTAGAGCCCTAAGACTTGCTGGGCGATTTACGAACATTATTGTCTCATTTGAACCTCCAGAGAACCCTGCGCAGCGGGTGCTGGGCATTGCTGTCTGCTTTTTACAGACAAGGAAACTTGGTCAAGGTCAGAGAACCAAAGGGCCCTACCCAAACTCATACAGCCAGGATTTGAACCCAGGTCTCAGCCTCATGCCACACTTCTCTCTGATGGGACAAACTGGCCTCTCACCAAAGCTGGGTGGGGGAGGGATCAGACAGCACCAGCCACCATGAACCCAGTCCCATTGGCGCCCCCAGTGGGCTCCTCGAGGTCTCCCTGGCCTGGTAGACGTTGACTCATTCACCCTATCCCTCTCCCACTGGGAAGCCTCTGGAAGGGGCCACTTCATGTGCTCTGAACTGACTCCCCAAACACACAACCCTCAACGTACCTATGACCAGGCCCACCCCCTCAATGCAGCCTGGTTCACCTTCCAGGCAAGGCTCGCATTCTCCCAATTGACCAATGCCAGCCCTGGGTATGTCCCAAGGTCTCTAAATTTCCCCCACCCCTAGAACTGGAGATACCTTCTCCTGCTGTAACTTCTGGAACTTCTATTCATCCCTTCTGCCCCATCAGACCCACAGCATTAGAAGCTCTTGACAGATAGAAGGTCAGAACTGGGAAAACCCTGTAACATTGAATGTCAGAGCTGGATGGAGGGGGGAGGCCTTAGAACAGGGAATGCCAGAGCTGGGAAGGAGCCTTAGAACAGGGAATGTCAGAGCTGGGAGGGGCCTTAGAACAGGGAATGTCAGAGCTGGAAATTCTTCTAGCATATAGACCATTGGGACATAGCAGCCCCTCCCCTAGTTATTTCCCATTTCTCCTTTCTGGGCACTCTAATTTTGGCCCAAGTGGACTCTTCTGTGCCCTTGGCATTCCCTGGCAGCCCCTTCACCTTGGTGCAGGACCTTCCTTGGGCCTAGAATTTACTCCCTCTTCACAAGCCTCTTAGACCCATCAGTGAGTGTCCTTCAAAGCCCAGGTCCAATGCCAGGGAATTTTCTGATCCTGCTGCTGGTGAATTCCCTTTTCCCCCTGACTGTGCAGCACTGGCATGGGTGCACATTGTGTCTCCCACCCCCTCCCAGGAGAACACAATCTCTGTGAGGGCAGGGACTGTTTTGAGTTTGTCTCCCCAGCACAAGGCTCAGTACTTGGCACACGGTAATGGCTTAATAAATGTGGACTGAACTGGGGCTGCCTCCACACCCTGCCTTTTCAGGGCTTACTGTCCAGGAGAGCATAAATAAGCCTAAAATAATCATAGAAACTAGAAGATGCCAGTTACTAGCTGAGACCGTGGGCAAGTTCTCCCCCCTGCAGGCTCGGCTTCTTCCTCTGCCGAGGAGACAGGCAAGGGGGAGATGGAGGAGCGGCTTTCAGGGGCGGTGGCTTTGGAGCTGGGCGTCAAAGGCTAGGCTGATTTCAGCCAGAAAGCAGGACGTTCTAGAAGAGGAGAAGGGCAGAAGCAGAGGTACGAAGGCAGGAACAGCTCAAATTCTCTAGTAACAAACAGGATTAAAGATCCTACGGGGAGACAGAGCCCCTGGAAGGGCAAATAACCTCCCTTTCTGCCTTTCTGACTCATGATGGGTCACTGGTCACTTGTGATGACAGTGGACAGAGTTTCGGGAAATGTGGCCCTGCTCTGCCATCCTGCCAGAATGGACGACCTGCCGGTGACGTCGTAGGAAAATGGGCCTGTTTGTTATTTTCAGATTGATGGGAAGCCTATTGCCCTGAAGATCGCCATTAATAAGATGAAAAATGGAGATTAGTCAAGATGGGGACATCGGATGGGAATAGAGTAGAAAGGATCGTGTCACAGCCGCAGCGAAAGCCTCTGCCACGGCTGAGTAATGTACTGACCGCCAATGACAGACAGCGCCGACGCTGGGGACGGATGGCTCCACATTAAGGCCTTCCCCGAAAAGCGTCGTTGCCTCTGTCTCCAACATTCTTCACTTATTCAGCCTCATTTCTCTCTGTTTCTTTTGCTTAGTGTCAATTCCAGGGAGATGGAATATTAAAATTCTAGAATCTTGGGGCTGGAA